ATATAAAGGTTGTACAATACACCATAACTCATGACTCCATTGAAAAGAAATGATGAAGATGTCAATTTATATATCACCTTTATGCCCAGAAGCTATAAGTTACCAATCATTTCTAACAATTTTAGATGAAATCTGCTTGACTGGTTGTAATTTGAAGTTTGAAGACTGGTTTCTGAAACCATCTATGTGTGAAAAAATAATAATAGACATGTGAATTGATACAAAAATAAAATCCATAAATTATAAATTGTGGGTTAGTTTCACAAAATTCCAAAATCTGGACAGTGTTCATAAGATACTTACATTAAAATTGAATGAATACATGAATGAATACATGAATGCATGAATGAACGAATGAATTGCTGCTGTGGTTCTTCCATTTCTTGATTCATGGGTTGCTGCTAGAAAAGGAGATGGAAGCTGTGGGCTGGAACAGAAGGATCTAGTTACTGTGACTTATGTTTTCGTAATCATGTGGCGTAGTAGGCTGATTACAGTAACTAGACCCATTGCAGTTGGACTATTGCAATGTTCTCTAGATGGGATTGCCTTTGAAGATCACTTGGAAACTGCAGAGTTAAGTGCAGCAGACCATTTGTTGACTGGCATTCACTACTGGGCACACATCACACAGTGCTGCAGGCCACCCAGTGGTGCTAACAGGCTCCTACATGCAATTTCATCTACTGATATTAACCTCAAAATTTCTACAGGGCTTCTCCCATTTGAATCAGCTCAACAAGTTTGATTTTCTTGGGAAAAATAATTTGCAGCACCACACTTCAGGGAAGGAGGCTAAGGTCTGACATGACTGCTTTTGAGTGGCTGCACTGGTTCTTTTGAATGGTTTCTGAGTAGACATCTGGTTGATCTGATGCTTAACACTCTTCTGGAAACTGCTCGTATTGAGATTTTCTTTTTTGGCCGTAACCCACTCTTCGTTTGGTTACAGTTTGGTTTCATTAATTTTATTGTTTATATTGTTCATTACATTATGTTTTATATTTCTCACCTATAAATCACTGGAGTCCTTAGGGATTCAGTGGTTAATAATAATAAGAAACAGTGGACCACTTAGTTGCTGCAAGGAGATCACACATACTGACTAGAAATAATGACATGACATACTAGCAAAAACAGTGAATTGGAACATCTGCAAGCAATACCATTTGCCTGCAAGGAAGAACTGGTGGAACCATAAAAAAAATGCTCTGGGATTTTAGAATTCAAACAGACAAGGACCTACTATACAATACTCCAGACTTAACAATTTTCAATAAGAATGTCAAAAAGTTTGGATAGCGAACATATGGAGTCTGCAGAATAGAAGAGAAAAAAACTGGAGCAAATCACAAAATACAAAGACCTGCAAATAGAACATCTATGGCAAAAGAGACAGATAATTTCAATAGTAATAGGCACCTTGTGTACAATCCCAAAATATCTGTAATAACACATGAACAGGATTGGCATTGACAAAATTCCCATCAGTCAGTTGCAAACAGCTTTGTATGTAGAACAGCTTACATCCTGCAACAACATCTTTAACACTATTAGACAACACCTGCCTATCTCAGAATCATGAGCAAGATTCTATAGGTGGATAAAGTATGGCCATTTTTCTGTTGGCTAACATCAAGCATTGACGAGTTAAAAATATGATTAATAAAAAAATACATCCAAAGAATGAGAAAATTGCTAAAGATAACATTGAACTGAGGGAAGAGCATCAAAGCCATCAATGCCTGGGCATACCTGGATACAGTACACTACTGAAATGACAAAATAGACATAAGCTGAACTTTATAGTTGAAAAGAAGAAAGAAAAGAAGAAAGTATGGAAAAATAATATGGCAATATCAGGGGATAGTAGAGTAGAAGACAAAGAATGGCAAGATCAATTTATCAAGATCTGAAAATCAAAATGAAAAGAATATGGCATAAATCAACTGTGATAGTCTCAATGGCTATTGGCATACTGGGTGCCATATCAGAAAATCTTGGATAGCACTTCGAAAATCTGTGCCTTGACAAAATTTCCATCTGTCAATTACAAAAGCACTGTTAATTACATTGCTTGAATCCACGCATATACTATAACAATACATGACAACATCCTACACTTTTGTCAAGAACCTGATGTGTAAGAAGGCTAAAACCAGCTTAAAGAACTGGCGGCTATGATTTCACACTGTTGTGTATATAACAGACTATCTCACTTACATGATCTGTGCAGGCAGTGCCACCTGCTGATGAACTGGTACAATATTTATTTCAACTTACATGTTATAGGCTTCATTTTAAATAACAGATTGATAACTAAGAATGCAGACAATACAAAAACTTCCTGCGTGGATTACCAGCCAGGTATTTCCATAAATAGAACTTTTGGAAAACATCTTCTTTGTTTTATGTTCAGATATGATGATCAGTTTCCAGTGAATTCATTAGAAGTGAACAAGAAATCAATCAGCAAAAATGCATTTTTATGTTCCAAAGATTGAGCATGGAAATAAAAAGGATAAGCCAAAATTGCACCATATTCTGGGACTTGTGTCTAACGTGTAATTTAGAAGCAGCGCGACTGTAATCTACCAAAATATGGTATAGTTTTGTTATATAAAGATGCCCTTAAGTTGAACTCAACTTCCAGTGGCTATATTCAAGTATATCATGGTAGCATTATGATTTTCTTCAAAATTCCAATTTAATCAATATCAATCACTCTCCAAGTACAGGTAGTCCTCAACATACAACCGTTTGTTAATGACCAAAGTTACAATGGAACTGATAAGTGACTTACAACTATTTGCTGCAGCATTCCCATGGTCACTTGATCAAAATTTGGATGCTTGGCAACTGGTCTGTATTTATCACGGTTGCAGTGTCCCGGGGTCATCATGTCACCTTTTCTGAGCTTCTGACAGCAAAGTCAGTGGGGAAGCCAGATTCATTTAACAACCGTGTTACTAACTTAACTGCACTGATTCACTTAACAACAGTGGCCAGAAAGGTGATAAAATGGAGCAAAACTCACTTAAGAACAGTCTTGCTTGGCAATGGAAATTTGGGGTTCAGTATTTGACGGGCTGCCACAAAGAAGAGGGGCTAAAATTATTCTCCAAAGCACCAGAGGGCAAGACAAGAAACAATGGTTGGAAACTAACCAAAGAGAGAAGCAACCTAGAATTAAGGAGAAATTTCCAAACAGTGAGGACAATCAATCAGTGGAACAGTTTGCCTTCAGAAATAGTGGGCGCTCCATTATTGGAGGTTTTTAAGAAGATTTTAGACAGCCACATATCTAAATTGGTGTAGGTTCTCCTGGATTGAGGACCTCTAAGGTCCCTTCCAGCTTATTCTATTGTATTCTATTGTCATGGTGTATTGCATGACTAGTGATTAAGATACTGGACTGGTAATAGGGAAACCAAGTTCTATTCCTGCTTCAGGCATGGAAGCCAATGGCATGGTTTCACAGCAATCACTTTCTCTTAGCATTAGGAGGAAGGCAATAGGCAACCACTCCTGAAATGGTTGTCGAGATTCGTTGCATGAACTTGCCCATATAGACATAAGAAACCAAAGCCAACTGGAAGACGTTTGTTTTTTTAAAAAAAAATATATAGAAATTTTAATATAAATAAAAGTTTTCAAGTGAATTAAAAGTATTAAACAAGGAACAAGTGAGTAAGGAAGATGAAAGTCAACAGCAGAAACGTTGCAGGAAGTATTTTAGAGATGTAGAGGAAGTATTTTAGAGATGTATGGAAATGGTAGGGTTAGGTCAAACCATGGTACTAAAGCAAATGTAATGTTTGTATCTAAGAAAAATGGATGAAAAGGATACCATAAAGTGACATGAAGATGCTGAAAAATGGTTACTTTCAAGATAAATGTTGTAACTCAATAAATATTGACTTTTGAATGTTATCTATTGTTGGATTAATTGCACCACTCTCTGTATCCAAACTATTCAGGTGTTTATATGTATTTTCATCTGCTTTAACCCATGTGTTATTTGCTTCTCTTCTTGGGTCCACATAATGAAGCTCAAATTATTCACAATCTGGTAACACATCAGACCGCCCCTAAGAATATATGGGACTGCCATGTAAGAGTTTGAATTTGCAAACTGGTATTCAGTTAATAATTTAAAGTTAAGAAGCAACATTACTTTCCATTCTATTTCAAAGTTTGTTTGGGCTGATTTTAAAGTCTTTAAAGTCTTAAAATGTATATTGAAAAGTCCTGCTTAAAGAATCTGCCTACCAAGATGCCCCCTAACTTTCTGGGATTAGAGAAAGTGACTTTTACAGGTTTGTATTCCAAGCTTGCTGCTTGGCTCCCGGACGTTTTGTTACCAAAGTAGGTAACATCTTCAGCAGGATTTTGGGTGTCTTGTTTGTTTATAGTGACTTTATAGCTTTCTTATCAAACTTTGGAATTGCACCCCATAGTGTTCTTTTAAAACAGTCATCAGCAGTTTACTTTCATTGCATTAATCACTTACTATGGGCTTTTATGCTTTTGCTTGATTTTGATTTTTTGAAATGTAAGCTATCTTGTGTTTTTAAAGGGGAATCTCATAAATATGTCTTTCATTGCTCCAGTATTTTTGACCATACTTAACTATTATTACTATTGAAATTTAGGTGACAAATCCAAATTCTAAAATATTTTCCTTTGTTTTATTCTGCTTTTTCTTTTTTAATTTCATTAGCTGTCACTTCAGTGATGGCAATTACTTTTAACTTTGTAGTCATGCCTGCTTTATTTTTATCTATACATGGCCTTAGTATGAATATTACATCAGAAATAATGCAAACATTTATGGAACTACCTAAAGCCGCAGACTCACTACATGGCCTTCATAAGCACTTATATAAAAATGAGAATATTACTAAAGACCACATCTGTACTATGAAATGTAAAAAAATTTAGGAAAGCACAAGACTATTAGGAATGTAAAAGAGCACTAAATATATACAAGCACAGTGTTTTAATAGAAAAATGTTTAATGTTTTCAAAAATTGTAAAGAAACAATTACTATCATACAATTCAGGGTTTTATTTTGCATATGTTTAGATTCATCTACTAACATGAATGTCAGTGTAATCTTTTCTTCATAACACAACACAGATACAAATCCATGTGCAGGAAGAGTTATTTTTCAGTGCCTTTGCAAGTGGCTAGAAGACTGTATTACCTGGAATATTTTAAAGCACCGATTGCCAGTAATGCTAGAGGGAGGTGGCGTCCACCCTCAGGCAGGCATTCGCCACAATCCACCAACTCTCCTCTCTTTCATATCTTGTAAGTACTTGATCTTGTCTGTCCTCTGCGTTGGCTTATCCAAAGGTGAGCACAAAACTAGTTGCTTTTCTGTTTTCTTGATCAAACTCCTAAACATACAGTGGCAATCACTGACCAGTTGTTGTTATTTATAAATATGGAAAAAGTTAATTTTACCTTCACATTTTCAAAATAGATTCTCTCACAGGTAGATAGACCGAGCCAAGGTATTACAAGAGAGTATAGAATTATTACTCTGAGGTTGATCATGAAGGATAGGGAATAGGATTGTAGAGTTGTGATTCTATTGCACCGACATAATACACTTAGGTCTGATAACATGAGAATGTCGCTTTTTTAAATACTGCAGAACAATAGGGACACATTTGTTAAGCTGCCTGCAATAAATCCTGTTTATATAAGGAGAAAATGAGAGAACAATCTTTTATCTAGTTTAACTCATTCTCTCTATCTTGTGGCTTTAGATAGGAATGATGGGGCTATGTATTGTTGCTATCCATTCTTCTTCCTAATGAGAAGGAAATACAATCTTCAATCTGCAGCATTCAGAAAAGGCATTAACCCATCAAGTAGCCCCTAGAAAACAAAGAGAATTTTGAATGGAAATGTGAAATAAAAGTAATGCTATTTAGTTTGCAGTTGAGTCTATTACATAATGCTAAATTCTTACTCTGTGAGTACCAGTAATCAGAGATAGAGCATCTGAAGGACCACAAATTCATTCTTGATCCAGACAGAAACAATTTAGAAAGATAAAAAAGGTCATATGCAAGACATACTTCTGTTAAAGGAACTGCAGAAGTCTTTCTGTGCACCAGGTGTAATGACTACATAGTTCATATGTAGTAGGCTAGAAAGCAAATGAACCACCAATTGCATGTGTTTTTTTTGGCTGTTACTTCAATTATTAGATTGAAAACCTTTACTAACCATAATCTTATTCTTAATTTGAACATTTCTAATCCAGGAATAACACTGAATTATCTTAAAGTACTATGAAAATGCAGTACTGGATAGCATTTCAAAATATTTAATCCCTTTATCTTAGATATTAATAGTTTATTTCTCCAACCCGACTTCTACATTTTCATAAATGTAATAATCTCTGGTCCTACCCAATAAATGTACACAAATAGACTTGTGTTTGCTTACGTTTCTCCAAATAATATGTCTTTAGAAAATAATCTGAAAAAACTTATGTTTATTTTATTCTTTTTATGTACTAATTTAGATTTTGGTTTAATCGAATATTAAGAATGAGGGAGAAAAGAATCTGATAAAAAAAAATGACTTACGGTAATTTCATTCGCATGAAGACTCTCGCCATGAAAAAACTCAACAAGACGCTCACAAATCCAATAAAAAGTAGCAGGAATCTATTCAGCTTTGGGATATTTGGTGCATTGGAACGATCCAGTATTATGAAACCAAGTCCACCCATTGTAAAGAGGAAACTGGATGCAAGCCCTTCCATTATATATTGCCCATTTACTCTGCAGATAAAAATGAATCAATTATCAACATTAGAGGGGTCCAGAAATCTACGTGGGATTTATACATGCAGGAATTTTATACCTATAGACCCTATAATCATCTAACTCAGAGTAGGCAAAAGAACAATGTTCACAACTTCACTTGTAGGGAGACATGCTTTTTGTCCCAACCTATTAGGGAATTAATGGCATTAAAACAAGGTGAGAAATCTGCTGAACGAGCTGGGATAGGTGTCAGTTCCACACTTTTATTATTTAGAGAGAACCAATTTCACAAATTTGAAGCAGACCACAAAATTAGGAGTCCAAATTTACTTTTCAACATTTTTGGAAACTGTCATCGGACACATTTAATATATCTACTTCAGTCACCATATTCCATCTCTGCTACCCCCATCTTCTTTGGTCATTCAAAAAATAATGAAAATAGGAAAAAGAAAAAAGAAACTGATAAAACCAAAACTAGGAGCAAAAACAATCCATGCATCATAAATCCAAATAAAAAGAGCGGTAAAACCAACCAGGGGAAACAAAGAACGTAATACGCAGTTAACATAGACTTTACAGTGTACTGGGAAAGAAAAAAAAACAAAAGATCTCCAGAAAGACTAAAAAAAGAATGCACAAAATTCTTCAGTCTTGGCTGGATTGTTCTGAAGAATTCTGGATTGTTCTGCTTTGTTGTGCTGCTTTTCTTTGGACCATGCTGTTCCAGGGAGGGAGACTTAGAAATTTTTTAAAGTAAATCATGCAGTGACTCAAAGTGTCTCAAAGTGTTCCGAAAGCAACATTTTAGACAAAAGGTCAGATTATCCCTGGAACACCTTGAACTGCTTCTACTTTGAGAATTTACGTCAAATCTGCCTGATTTTCCCCACTCCTCATAATAGTATGATCTGGAAGAAATCCAGAAGGAAATGAAATCTGCCAGAACACATTAGAACAATACTCTTAATAACAACAAAACAACAATAATGAAAATATGCTACTAAAATCCTTCTTTCTTGTAGACTTGAGATTTGACACTATAATTTTGCAATATAGCATTTTAATATTTTGATACTTTTAATATTAATTACATTTTACCTGTATGCCAAGAATGCCACAGGTCGTTGATGTCCATGTTCATCAGTCATTGAACCAACACTAGGAGGTTCTACAATCACATCATAAATTATTCCTACAAAGGAAAAAAAAATAAAGAAAAAATAATTCTTTATAAAAGAATTCTTCCAAAAAGGAAGGCAGCATTCACCAGTCTGTAGTTTTCTTGCTAATAGTTGCAAACACAGTAGTTCTTACAAGTTCAAAATCATCACTTTTGCCTGTCCTCAGGTTCTAATGCTGCAATATACAGCATATAGAAACATACCATCCACTAAGGTTTTATTACTTAGCTACCTTTTAGCAGTAAAATTTACTTCTCTCCTAGAAAGTCCATGGATTTACTTCATATACATAGGGGAAGCAAAACCTTCTTTGTCTACGATTGGCTAGAAGTGGGTGATACCCACCTTCAGTGAGTCCACCTTCAGGACCAATAGAGTTTGGAATCTCCAAATAATTTTCAAATACATTTTACTATATTTTTAACACAGAGAAGCGCTTAGATATACGTATGTATTTAAACATTTTAAGAATGCAACAAAATTCAATGTGGCAAAATTAAGTAAGTAAGCACTTAAATGAAAACATTCATTTTCCTTTAGGCTTATAATGACCCTTTTACTCCTGCCTATTCCCTACTCCATCCACCAACAAATCTGATTATATAGACTTTTTCAGACTTGGGCTGCAAAAATATAGAAAAATACTAGAATGCAACTAAGAGATAAAAGGGATTTTTTTTCATCTCTTTCCTGACATGCCTAGTTGTCTGTAGTTCTGCAGCACAGACATGCCAGCCCAAGTGCAAAGCCTCAATTTGTTCCCTCCTAGGCAAGGAGGGTTTGTAAGGATAGAAAAGTTATGGATAAGTGAACAATTCATTAACTAAAGAACAATTCAGTAACTAAAATTTAACAATATCTCCTTTTGTTATAGGGAATTCCTCTGGCTCAGCCACCCTTACTCCTTTTCTGAGCTGTGTCTTCTAGTCAAGACTGGACTCTACCAACTGCCTCCAAGTGGCCTCAAGAACTCTCTAAAAAGGATGGAAATGACCAGCTGTCCGCAAGGAATATGCAGATCTTTCCATTCCCCACCTGAATGAAGAAGCTTCTTGTATGAGAAGCGAAATGTTTCCAAAGAAAAATAAGTTGCCTCCTGAGGAAAGCACTTTTGGGACAACCATGATCTGGATCAGGCGTCGCCAACCTTTTGGACCTCAGGGACCACCAAACTCATAATTTTAGATCCCAGGAGCCACTAACCGGTTCTGTGGGTGTGGCTTAATTTGTGGGTGTGGCTTGGTGTCATGTGACTGGCTGGGCATGGCTTGTATGTAAATATTATAAATATTTATATAAATATTGAATTTTTTTATTTTAAAAAAGAGCAACTTTTACCCAAAATCAGGCAAAGCAGGCAGGCAGATTGAGTTGCTCACAGAATCACAGATTCATTCAGAGATCTATCTATCTGCCATTGGCTAGCTCAGTCTGTCATATACAATTTTCTTGCAAGCAAACTCACAAAATTAACTCACACCATGCATGTAAATATTGATTTTTTTTATAAAAAAGAGCAACTTTTACCCAAAATCAGGCAAAGCAGGCAGATTGAGTTGCTCACAGAATCATTCAGTGATCTATCTGCCATCGGCTAGCTCAGTCTCTCAAATTTTCTTGCAGTGAGTCTGCATTGAATTTGCTTGCAAGCAAACCTTCAGTCCTAAGGGAGGTTTGGCTGTGCTGAGCTGAAGATCTAAAGACTAGCTAGAAAGCAAGAAATCCAACCATTTCCTGCTTCCTAGCTAATCTAAATCTCCTGGCACAGCAGAACAGATGATGGTCGGAAAGAGGAAAAATAGCAATTTAGCAGGCAAGTATGCTGGGTAAGGAGTGAGTTGGCGGGGAGGGTTCCTGCGGGCCATGTGGGCGGTGCAGCCTTGTATTTCTGCACAGCCTGGATTAATTGCTTTGTGGGGGTGCTCTGGGGGTGAGATTTCTCTGCCGCCCACCAAAATTTTCTCGCGGCCCGGCGACTGCTGATCTGGATGACTAAGGATCTTCCATAAACAAAAGTCCCTAGATTTTTCTTGGCAAGATTTCTTAGGACTGAGACCGTCTGACCCCAAAGTCACCAAGGACTCATGGCTCTCCTGCAAACTTTTAGGCACTGCAAAAAAGGGAAAGGATGATGACAGAGAGGAAGAGAGGGGGCAAATTGTAGGGGATGCTGAAGACTTTTCTAGTTATAGACTGGGATTTTTGCAGCCCAGATGCCACAAGCTTAAGAAACAGCTGAAGCCTGTGGCCTGGAAATCCCAAAGGTGCTTTTTCCTGAGGCAACTGGGCTTTCTTGTTTTTTTCTTTGCAGACATTTCACTTCTCATCCAAGAAGCTTCTTCAGCTCTGACAGAATAGTGAGGAATGGAAGGATTTATATTCCTTGCAGACAACTGGCATCCTTTTAGAGGGTAGTTGAAGCCCTTGGAGATTTATCTGTGTCCTCAGGATCTGTAGCCTGCAATTTTTGTCTGGAAATCCATTCCACTCTCACGCCATTCAAAGGGTGTTCATCCCAAATTGTATATAGCTAAATGTCTAGGGAGAGCCAGTCATCCAGATCATGGTTGTCCCAAAGGTGCTTTCCTTTAGGAGGCAACTGGACTTTCTTGTTTTTTCTTTTGAAGACGTTTTGCTTCTCATCCAAGAAGCTTCTTCAGCTCTGACAGAACGGTGGGGAATGGAAGGGTTTATAGTCCTTGCAGACAGCTGGTCATCTGCATCGTTTTTAGAGAGTCTTTGAGGGCACTTGGAGGTTTATGTGTGTTGTCACCTTTCGGACAACCATGACCTGGGTGACTGAGAATCTCTACAACGGAGTGTTTCCCGCATGCGGGATGGGGGAAGGGAAGGGGGGGGTCCCCGGCGTGACTGAAGGGGTATTCAGGCGTCGCCCTCGCCGTCCCTTTCTCTCACCTCCCCCCACCCCATGGACCAAGCCTGGTTGGGAGGCGGCTCTTGAACTCCTTCACCGGGAGGGGTGGGGGAACAGGGGGACCCTCTGCGCCCTACCCCGGCGGCTTCAGCCCTCTGCGGTCTCTGGCATTTACCTCCCGTGATGAGAAAGTAAGAAACCACCACCAGCGCGTAGACCGTCATGGCCGAGGGCATGTGCACCCAACTCGGCCGCTTCAGTTTAATATTGGGGCATTCCAGCACCAAAAACGGCATTCGGTAGAGGGTCTCCATGGCGATCCCAGCTCCAGGCTCGTCCGCCTTCCTGCCCACCGAGTTCGGTTTACTGGGATTGACCTGTCGCGGCCACCGTAAATCCTGTAATGGAACTGCCGAACAGTAATGTCCTGGAAGAGAAAGAACACAAACCGCTGTAGCGAGAACGACTAAAGAAGAGAAACGAAGCGAATGATATGATGGGCGAAAAAGGGCAGGGTTTTTAATGACAGGTTACTGGGGGAAAAGTTTTTTCCAGGTGATATTCTGTCGTGATGAAGGCTGTTAAACCCGTTATTAATCTTCCAGGACCTTAACATGCTCGACGTGGTCATTTGATGAATAAACGTGGCCTTGGCAGAAGTAGATGACGTAGAAGCCGCGCCCACAATAAAAATGGGGCCAATCCTATAGCTTGGAGTTTCATACGTATATTTATGCTGGAAGGAGGTTTGAAAAGATGCCGCCCCGACCAGAAACTGCAATTCTGCGCGAGTGACAATGAAGTTTATTTCAATTAGACCAAGGGTCTTCAACCTTGGCCACTTTCAGCCTGGCGGACTTCAACTCCCAGAATTCCTCAGCCAGCAAAGCAAAGGTTTTCATTAGCAAAGCTGCCTGGGGAATTCTGGGAGTTGAAGTCCGCCAGGCTTAAAGTTGGAGAGCCCTGAATTAGACAACTGTAGTTGTAATTCCTCACAAAAAATGGGCTTCTGCTCCACTATGTTTTGGTTAGCCATTTTTAATTTTTTTAATCCATTTTCCTTCTGCAGAATATGCTGAGCCTTAATTAAATAAATCATATGGAGGTATAACGTTCTTTAAGCCTGAGATGAGATGCTGGATGTATGCAGGTTTTGCAGCCCTAACATTAACTCTTTTCTCACAGTTTCCCTTGGCTCTCCTCTACCCTCTCACCCAAGAATTATGAATCTCTTAAAACCCTGCTATTATTTTGTGTCTGTTCTCTAATGGTTGACTGAAAGATTTGGAACTTATTTGCTGAATAAATGTCCAGGATCTCCTCGAGACAGAAAAGTGGTTCAAGTCCTATCAAATTCTGTACCTGTCAATAGTGGTGTCCCCCAAGGCAGTGTTCTAGGACCAACTCTCTTCATACTCTACATAAATGACCTCTGTGATCATATTAAGAGCAATTGTGTTCTTTTCGCTGATGATGTAAAGCTGTTCAATACCACAGACAATACTGCTACCCTACAAAAAGATCTTGACTATGTATCAGAATGGTCAAACAAATGGCAACTTCAAATCTCAACAAATAAATGCTCTGTCTTACATATTGGCAAAAAAAATCAGAAAATAAAATACAAGCTGAATAGTCAAGATCTTGTTGATGACCCAAGCTCTGTAAAGGACCTTGGAATACTCACCTCTAATGATCTAAGTGCTAGAGCCCACTGCAACTACATAGCCAAAAAGGCATTAAGAGTTGTTAACCTAATCCTACGTAGCTTTTTCTCTGGTAATATCACACTACTAACCAGAACATACAAAACATTTGCTAGACCAATACTCGAATACAGTTCATCAGTCTGGAACCCACATTACGTATCTGATATTAGCACAATTGAAAAAGTCCAGAAATATTTCACAAGAAGAGTTCTCTACTCCTCTACTCGTTGTAGAATACCTTATGCCACCAGACTTGAAATTCTAGAACTAGAAAACCTTGAATTACGCCGTCTTCGGTCTGATTTAAGCATGGTATATAAAATCATACATTGCAATGTCCTACCTGTCAATGAATACTTCAGCTTCAACCATAACAACACAAGAGCACACAATAGATACAAACTCAAAGTTAACCGCACCAAACTTGATTGCAGGAAATACGACTTCAGCAATAGAGTGGTCAATGTCTGGAATACTCTACCCGACTCTGTAGTTTCTTCCCCAAACCCCAAAAACTTTAACCTTAGACTGTCTACTATTGACCTCACCCCTTTCCTAAGAGGTCTGTAGGGGGTGTGCATAAGCGCACCAACGTGCCTACCGTCCCTGTCCTATTGTTTCTCTTATTCTTTTATTTTTCTTATATGTACCCATTTCATGTATTCACAACTATGTATACACTTATACTTATTATCTTGTAAACAATTGGCAAATCAAATAAATAAATAAAAATAAATAAGTTGTCTAGCTAAACTACGTTTGCTTTATTTTAAATCCCTGATTTTGCAGCCCTTGATTTTCAGAGTTCAAAGTTCTGGTTTTCATTAGCAGTAGCCACATTTTAGCATTACTCCCCATTTCATTCATGCCACTCAGCCTAATCATTTACAAACATAAAATGAAATGTTAATTATAAAATGAGAATTTATATGCAATACTTTTATTTTAAATTGACCTTTGATAGATATTTTTATGAGACTGGTCCCACATATCGCTTTTATTTAATTCTGGTTTAGTATGTGTAAACTGAGCCATTGTGATTTGTTAACCATATCTAACATAGCACATGTCATACCCATTGGAATCTGATTCAGAGGGGGAGGCCAAGCAGCTGACAAAGTGGGAGTGTGCTCTGTTGGCTGTGGAAGAAACTGGGGAAGGGCAGAGGCCAGCTGGGCAGAGCAGGGGAGAGGTAGAGCAAGGGAATGGGAAATTGGAGGAAGATCCTAGGGGATGCAGGAACTGAGAAGGGAACACGAGTTGCATGACATGAATTGCATGGCTTATGGGGGAGGAAAGGGCCGATTCCCTTCATTAGCTGCAGCTGGGAACAGTGTTTAAAAAAGGGAAACTGCGCACAGCAAAGTTGTTGGGTGCAAATTGTGAATTATCTGGTATCAGAGGCTTATCTGGATCCCTGGTGTCTTCCCAATTTTGTGTGTTTTGCTGGGCTTTCAAGTCTGCAATTCCTTCTCCTGCTCTGTCAAGTTAATTACTGCAGCATGGTTAGTGTGGATTTTTATAGTTTGTATGTACTTTGTTTTTGGACTGAATTTCCTCCACTTAAATACTGTTTTTGGGAGTTTTTTTCTCCAGCCGAAGGTAACCTGGACATTGGGGGGCAAAGTTGGAGGTATTAAAGGGACACTTCTTATTTAACTGTGTTGCCTTTATGCCACATCCCAGGTCATCATAGCACAACACATGAACTCAAAATCTCTGATTACAATGCTGTAATCCCAACATAAGACCCTTGTCCTACTGTGCGTATGTTTGAGTTCAATATATTAGTCTCTTATGCAAACACTAATAGCTCAAACCAGCTAAGAAAAAATCATTTCACAAAACTATCGAAGTAATCTGTGCTATTCATTCCCTCTGAAATATACTAATGAGTGTGTTGGATATGAAACTTGTTTTTCCAATGCAGCTTTCTTCAGTTTGGAGAATTCCCATAAACTTGAATCAACAAAGCCAAAGGTCAAGAATGCTGAGAAATGTAATTCAAAATATTTCAAGGCTACAATGTTCAAGATGGTTGTTTAAATATCCCCAAATTAAACACTTGGCACTTATAACTGATTCAAGAAAGTAAATTCCTTATTATATCACTTTCTCAATTTGACAAGCCATGTGGTTTCAATCAAAAATAATGAAACATTTAGGTTGCTCTAGTCAGAAAATCAAAATAAGAAACAGTAATTGGAGATCATAGAAATGGTCAACATTGCTCTTTGCATATTTGATTCAAATCCTTTTGCCAACTTTACAAGCATTATTAAATGCATCTGATATCTCATTGCAGGAATTCATCTGAAAACATATGGAATCTATAATCAAGATGTTCCAAAATATATTAAAAATAACAAGGTATTCTGTTTTCATAGTTAATAAACTTTTGAATCTCATTTTAATTTTTAAAAATGTTTCTACTTCCTATACATTAGTTGGGCAGCTATGCTAAGGAAGCATATATGACTTCTATAAAAACTACAATGAGAACTGTGGATTTGATAGAGGAACAAAAACAGATTTATCAAATTCTATTGTACATCACAACTTGTTTGTGATTTTCTCCAAGGCATCTGAGAATCAGGAGACTGGGTTAGATGAAAAGATGATTTTATCTGACAAGATTCTTACCTGCCTAAAATTTGAAGGGTTACGTGACACTTATCAATGCTCATTCATAATACATACTTTACATTCAAAAACATTCTAATTCATTTTCTGTCAGCAAAGTCTTCTACAGTTAATAAATACTTGGAACAGCATTCTAACAAGTCAAGTTCTGAATATTTAACCAGATAAATGTCTATGGAGATTCTCAGTCATCCAAGTCATGGTTGTTCCAAAGATGCTTTTTCAAGAGGCAACTGGATTTTCTGGTTTTTCTTTGAAGACGTTTCGCTTCTCATCCAAGAAGCTTCTTCAGCTCTGACTAGATGGTTGGAAAGCCCAGATGCCTCTTGAAAAAGCACATTTATAAGCAAGCAAAAAAACAACGAACTAAGATAGAAGACTTAAGAGTTGATGGTTAGAAATGGAAGAGGGGGACTCCACATTAAGAGGTACCTTAGTAGTAAAACACATATAATAGATTTTGAGGAGTTTGGACTAAGAATCAGAAATAATAAAAAGGAATAATCAAAATGGAAGAGTTATAAAAAATATGATTTCATAATAGGTCAATTAAGTAAAACAGATAAATGCTTATGGAAGATCTAAGTGGCTAATACTTAAGGTGGGAAGGGAAATGTTAAGTGGAGTGATAGAGAATAGATATAATCATATAGTATAGGATAATACCGTGTTTCTCACATAATAAGGCCGGGCCTTATTTTTTTTTGAGCCCCGAAAAAACGGCTAGGCCGTCTTTTCGGGGGTAACTTAATTTCCCCCCTTTCATCCTCATCTAGAGTGCCCCGCGGGCAGCCTCGCCACCAGCCGCTCCTAACGGGCGATCATGGCGAAGCGCAGAGCTCCCTACTCCCACCAAACACCTTTGCTGCAGACCCAAGACCTTTGGCACCTGCCACTGTTGCTTTCCCTTCTGCCCATTCCGCTGCCGTTTGGAGTGCCGTTGGAGCTGCCTCTGCCGTTTGGAGCCACCGC